TCTGGATATTTGTTAATCGCTGCTGATAAATTCTCTCTCATCACATTATTATTGTAGGCCAGTGTGTTTTCTTGTGAGAAACATGATGGCTGAGAACCTGAAAACAGATATATTAGATGGGAAATTGATTTTTACAGATCATGTATCAAATTCTGTTTTTAGATTACAAAAATTTTAATGAAAAGGCATTTCAGGGCTGGAGAGATGGCTCAGTGCTCAATAACGCTGACTACTCTCGCAGAGGACCTGGGTTCGATTCCCAGGACCCACATGGTGGCTAATAACCATTTGTAACTCCATTTCCAGAGGCTCTAACACCTTCTTCTGACCTCTGTGGGCACCGCATGACACGGGTGTACTCACATACATGCAAGCAATATACCCATACACATAAAATAAAAAATAAGTAAGTAAAATATTTTTTAAAAAGAAAAGGTATTTGTCCTTTTTATAGAAAGAGTCCCTTCAAAGTATAAGTCCCCTGGGTATTTTTGCTGTGGTTCTTTTTTTTTTGGTTCGCTGGGGTTAGTTTACTTGAAAATGTTTTATCTCCACATTTCTAAGGTCATGAAATGAGCCTCCAAGTTCAGAAGATGCCGAGTTTTAGAAGTGTTCAAAGTGCTGAGAATGCCAAGATTGACTATGCATGCTCAGCCACAGGTGGGACATCCATAGAAGCCATATACCTCCAAGGCTCAAGGAGCATCTCAGAAGAGGGGGTGGAAAGAAGAGCCAGAGTGCGGGGAGGAGTGCTGGGAAATGCTGTCATCCAGGCATGACATTGCTATTGCACACATGAACCCACAGCTGCTGTGGTTACCTGCACAAAATCAATCCACTTACAAATTCCAGCAGGAGGGGGAGGGGCTCCCAAGGTCCCACCCATAGCTGAGGAGCTAATGGCGCTTGATGGCCTGAGGAGGAAGGAGAGTCACTTTTCTTTGCCCAACCCCTGGTGAATGAACCCACATTCATGCACATATGGTCAGCACTTATTAGACTCAGTGGGTTAAAAACTAATTAATTAACAAAAGAGGATGTGAAGCAGAGGGAAATGTGGAGGGGGAGTTGGACAAAGGGTGTGCTGGGTGGATATGATGGAGCTACATTGTATACATAAATGAAATTTTCAAAGAATACATTTAAAATTTTTTTATTATTTTTATTTTATGTGTATGTGTGTATTGCCTGTGTGTACGTAAGTGCACCCATGTTGTGCAATGCCCGTGGAGGACAGAAGAAGCCGTCAGATCCCCTGAAACTGGAGTTAGGACAGTTGTTAGCTGCTATGAGGGTGCTGGGATTCTAACCTGGGTCTTTTGCAAGAACAACCAGTGTTCTTAACCGCTGAGCCATCTCTCCAGCCCCAGAATACATATTATTTGTAAAAAGTACTGGAAATTCACACCAGACACATCCAGATGTGAGCACAGGGGATGGTCACCAGTGACACCCACAGTTGGTATTTATGGTACTCACAGTGCACTGTTGCAAATCAGGTAGGAAGTGAGCAGGTTTCAAAGAGTCACCAAACCAAGCACCTAAAGGAGATCGGCTCTGGCTTTTTGGCCTTCCTTCACTATGTGTGACAGAAAAGCAATGGATTTCAGTCACCCCAGCGAGGCTTGCCCTGGGACAACTGTGGTAGAATCACTTACTTCTGAAGAGGGATGCTGGGGACCCCAGGAAAGCTGGGGTTATGCTAACAGACCTTTAATAACAGATGTCCAATTATGGTCTGAGGAGAAAACTATTTCTACTAAAAGTCACCTTTGTTATCACTGCTGTTGGATTTGGTTTTAGTAATTAATATGCTAAGTGATCATAGAAGGATCCAGAATATGTTCTGTCTTCATTTTTCATTGACTATAGGATCATTTTCAACTCTAGTTTTCAGCATCTGGCACAAATATGTCAAGTCCGACTCACTCTAAAACACATTTATTTTCATAAAACGTTTTTAGTCCCCAAATCCAAAGTAAAGTGATACAGACCCCAAAGAACAACATAAACCCCTTACCAAATACAAGCTCGAAAGGGGAGAGGGGATAGATGGCATATAATGGAACAGAGTTGCCACTGACATTTTATAAAAATCAAATCAGATCAAATGAAATGGATCACAGAAGAGGAAAGAGGCATCGTCTAGCCCCGATTCTATATTCCCAAAACTGAGCTACACAGAAGACAACAATCTGTGAAAGAATAAACTTCAAGGGCAGATGTGAAGGCAGCCCTTTTGAGAACCATCTACTGCCTTTAATTATCTGTGGTTTTATACAAAACTATGAAATCACAGAAGGCAGGCAACTCATAACAAACCAAGGCACCTATAGACACTCTGAGGCCTGGTAAAATTATTTTAGGTACTGTACGAATCCGAATGGGGAGATTTTAGTGTTGTGGATCTAACTTTTCTGTATCAGCTTGACAACTAAGAAATCACTGAATCTGCTCTTTTGAAATTGCCACTTCCTGTGTCTCAGTATGCTAAAAGTTGTGTGCTTTCAGAAAGATGACGACAACCCTTGGCTTAAGAAGCGATGCTGACCAAGACTGCCCATAGAGGAGCACTGTTTTGTTCTGACGCTTCTGCATGGCTGTTTTCCTTGTGCAGAGCATTATTAGACTTTCATCACTCTGTTTAAGCCTTATAAAATGCTTGTGTGGAGATAGAGAAAGGGGAAGACAGGTTAAGAAAGAGATTAAGTATGTGAAAGGGAAAAGGAGGATCCGTTTCAAGTTAGAAAAGGGTAATTTTAGCCAGAATGTCACACACACACACACACACAAAAAAAAAACGTACGAAATCAAAATTAATTTGCATGCCAAGTGAGAAGCAGGGCAAAGGAATACTGTATTTTTGAAAGTTGCCTTCAGGAATTCCTGTCTTGAGACTGTGCTGTCTTTTGTAGAAGAGACATGAGTTTTGGAACCTGACAGACCTAGGTTCAATCTCCCCTCAAGTACTTCACACGTGTGTGCTCCCTGGAAAATTAGCTAAGCTTGCAGCATCTCAGTATTGATGGATTACTCTGATAATTAATTTTAAAGATGATTACAACACACATTCTGCAGTGCTCATAACACAGAAGGAATCCCCACTCTCAACCTTGCTCCATGTCACTGTCTGTGGTATGCTGCTTTTAATCACCTTTTTAAAGTCGATTTCTCTAATGCTTGTGCCCTTTCAAGGTTGAATAACTTTTGGGGGGGAATTTACCAATTGTTTCTAGAATGTGGTCTGTAATATTTCTAGCATTGTTCACTTTTACTTGTCTTTTTAAATATATTTTATTATTTTTAGTTTGTGTATGAGTGTATTGCCTGCATGTATGTAAGGGTACCCATGTCATGGAATGCCTGTGGAGGTCAGGAGAGGGTGTCAGATCCCCTGCAACTGGAGTAATGGATGGTTGTTAGCTGCCATGTGAAAGGCTGAGAAGTAATTGCTTTCTTCTCCACCAGGTCTGCTTCTTGGACAGACAGGGAACCTTCAGGGTGTCACTTTGCAGCATCCGCTGCTTTCAAAGGGTCTTTAATGTGAATTAATGAGCAGACCAGGGTCCCTGCTTAGGGGTGAAATTCCCTGGACTCCACCTGTCAGAAGTGATACACCTAAAGACAGGCTCTCCAAGGCACGGACATTAGGGATGCAGACACCAAGACCTCCCTGGCTGCAGGCTGAGTTTTAACTACCTGTTTTTTAAAATTTTTAAATTTTATGTGTATGAGTGTTCTGCCTGTATGTATGTAAGTGCATCTGTGTCATGCAAAGCCGGTAGAGGTCAGAAGAAGGCATCAGATCCCCTGCAACTGGAGTAATGGATGGTTGTTAGCTGCCATGTGGGTGCTGGGAATCAAACCCAGGTCCTCTGCAAGAGCAGCCAGTGCTCTTGAGTGCTGAGCCAACTCTCCAGTCCCACTTTTACTTCTCTTAGAAGCTTCTGTAAGAGTGATGTAAAGGGATGGTTCAGTCAGTAAAGTGCTTGCTGCACAAGCATGAGGACTTGAGTTTGGATCCACAGCACATATACAAAGCACCAGACATGGTAGCACACATCTGTAATCCATGGGGACATGGAGACAGGGGAAGCTCTGGAGCTTGCTGGCCAGCTAGTTCTGCCAAATGGGTGAGCTTCAGATTTAGTGACAGACTCTGTCTCAAAAAATAGAGTGGGAAGCGATAGGGGAACTTCACATTGACTGCTAGCCTCCACATGCATGTGCACACTTGGATGTGCACATGTAACCAGGTATGGGCATGTGCACACACCCATATACGCACACACAAAGATTTGACTTGTCTGGATCAAATGGCTTGCACAGTTTCCCCACAAAATCCAACAGTCAAGATTTATAATATTTTCCCAAACAAAGCCAATTGGATGACTATTTTCACAAGAGATATATTGTAGAATAACCCAAGATAGACTGTCAAAAAGTATGAAATTCATGGGGCTGGAGAGATGGCTCAGAGATTAAGAGCACTTGCTGTTCTTGCAGAGGATCCAGGTTCAGTTCCCAGCACCCACATGGTGGCTAACAACCATCTGTGACTCCAGTTCCAGGGACTCTGACACCATTTTCTGGTCTCTGTGGGCACTAGGCTTGCACATGATACATATATACATATGCATGCAAACACTCATATGCATGAAATAAAAATAAGTGGTTTTATTTTTTTTTAAGTATAATCAGGACTGGAGAGATGACTCAGTTAACTGCTGGCTGTTCTTTCAGAGGATTTGCCTGGGTTTGGTTCCCAGCACCCACATGGCAGCTAACACCTGTCCTTAAATTCCATTTCAGAGTATTTGATGCCCTCTTCTGGTCTCCACAGGCATTACACACCTGTGGTGTAATACACACATGCAGGCAAGCTTTCATTCATAGAAAATAAAAATAAATAAATCTTTAAGAAATGTGGTCATCTTAAAACCCAAACTATCTCAATTAGGGCCAGCTAGGCTGACCGATCGAGAGGTCTCTGCACTTACTTGGCGTTTGCTGGGTTGCTAGTGGTCAGGTTTGCCAAGGCCAGAGCAGCAGCCTCTCTCACCTCTTCACTGGCACTTCTGAGCAGCTGAACTATCTGTGGAATCCCTGCAGGGGAAAGAATGTGAAGCGTGACTTTTAAGTCCACCCATCCACATATACTAGCCTTAAAACCTTCAAAAATATTGGTCCTCAGTTTGCTTACCCTGAGTATTGAAAAACTCTTTGCTGCCCGAATTCTCACTCATGGCCGAAATAGCTTGGGAAGCAGCTATCTTAGTTCCATCGCTCTCAGAGCCCAGAAGGGTTACCAGGCACTTTTCGACCTCTTGTTCATGAAAAAATTTCCGGTTTTCAGCTTTCATAAAAGCAAACAAAAGTTCAGAATGTGGCTGTAAAGACCATATTACTAATGGCAGAAATGTAAGTCATCTGCTAACTTTAATGTCCAAGTTGAAGCCAAACACAATCTATACCTAGTAACCTTCAGAGCACAGCACTGTTACAAAAGGAATTGCCGACAACATTTCTTTCACATCTCCTCCTGTGCTGTGTATAAACACCATGGTAACAGGCAAGTCATCAGGTTTCAGATGCACTTAGCACCCACCGTTAGCATAAGTGGAACTCCTTTGCACAGGCTATCTCCTCACTAAGTACCAAAGCCCATTAACTTGATATTATTTTAAATATAAAACAATATTAAAGGATGTTTACATGTGAAAATTAGAGAACTGGATGCCCAAGCATTCAGAGAAGGAAGGAGGGAGAAATAAACGGTCAAATATGATCCTGACTCTTTCCATATTTCATCAAAACCTGTCAAGCATCTTTCTCTTGAACTACTGTATACACTTAAGTGACAAAAATTAAAGCAATTATTTGAATTACCGTAGGAATAGTACTAAAATGCGAGCATACTTTTCTTTATTTGAAAATGCTTACAGTTCTATGTCCACATCACGATATTAACCCCCTTGTAAAATACTAAATTTGAAACCAATGTTTTTTGTCTTTGTTTTTAATTTGTGACACTGGAGAGGGAACCAAAGACCTTGTGGCCACTGGAGGTGTCCCCACTCTGAAACCAAAGTGTTTTTGTTTGTTTATTGTTGTTCCTTAAATATTTTTTCTTTTGACCTATTTTGTTTTAAATAAGTGACAGTCGCATGTTATTGTTAGGGTATCAATAAGCCCCATAAATTGAACTAGTCCAGACTATAAAAAATGTCTAGTCTATCTGTTGGAGGACCTACTTTTCCAGTCTCACTGGTCAATTACCTGGTGATAGAACCACTCCCAGGAAGGCAGGAGTTCACCTTACATTATGCTAAACAGATGGGTGGAATACCGGGTGTGTTAATAAGGTAGTGAATGTTTCCTGTCTGGAACTAGCACAGATCCCCACAGAACTTCCAGACCAGCCACAGCCATGTAGGTCTCCATAAGTCTGTCTGCTTGCCTGAACTCTTCAGGAAAGCGTAATTTCTCCTTTTCTTCTTCATGCCTTTCTTACTAAACATGCTTTCTCTAAGGCTTTGGGCTGCCCCTAGCATCTTGTAGTTCTTCACTTTTTCTCTAAAGATTCCTTCTCCCAGCCTTGTGGCTGTGAGTCAGCCATGTGTCTGACCTCCGTGCAGGCTCTAAACCTGTGTTGCTTCATGATTTTCTTTCCTTCTTCCCACTATTCACCTCCTCAAAGCAGCTGCCAAGATTACCAGCTCACCCGCCCTGAGGATTTTTCTTTAAGATTCTAATAAAATTGTAAAAGCTTCTGTTTGGGTCCATTCTTAAATTCTTTTATGAATGAGACTAAGAACCCTCTAGGGGATCCTCTTCCTCCTCGTTTCACTATGCTAAAGTAAACACTGTACCAAGCTAAACTAGAAGTCTAAAAAAAAGTATCAAACTCAGTTTTAACACCATCAAACTGGCATCAGAGGTACCAGAGACTGGTGAGAAAAGAAATTTCTCATTTGAGGGATTTCTTCCATCAGACTGGCCTGTGGCCCTGTCTGTGGGGCATTTTCTTGATTGCTAATTGATGATGTAGGAAGGCCCAGCCCACTGTGGAAGGTGCCACCTCTGGGCTGGTGGATCTGGACTGTGTAATAAAAGTAACTAAGAAAGCCAGAGGGAGCAAGTCAGGAGGCAGCGTGCTCCATGGTCTCCGTTCCAGCTCCCACTTGACTTCCCTCTGATGATGAATTGTAACCTGTAAGCTGAATTAAACCTTTTCTTCCCCAAGTAACTTTTGGTTACGGCATCTATCACAGCAACAGAGAAACAAACAAATACAGAAACATTCCGCTTGAATAAGAATCTCCACCCCAACTGATGCTGATAATTTAGATTACAATCTCAATGTGTGGAACTAATTCATTACTTACACATATTTTAATTAACTTTTTTTCAGGAAATATTTTCAGAAATGGAAAGTTGAAGGTTAAGATCTGCTTTCTTCTTTCCTCTAATAATGAACCCCCGCAAATTGCTCTCCTTGCAGCAGCAACAGCAGCAGCAGCATCACAGTCATGGCTCCGTATTTGCAACGACTGTTTTAGCCTTGGTTCATCTGATACACAGACACATCCCAGGCAGTCTGGCTGTGGAATGGCTCAGGCTAAGTTACCCATCAGGAGCCATGTCCTGTGGTCCTACTGTTTTAATCCTTTCAATTAACCCAATATTCAGGCAGATGAGAACTGCAGTTTATACTTGAGCCTAAAATATATGACTTCTAAGATATTTTAAAATACATGTAGTCCTTATTAGTTTTCAATAATTAAAAACACTGGAGACTCTTCCAAAGTCTCTGTCCTAAAAAATTTCTTAGCTGTATCAATAAAACTTCCCTGAAAGCTCTTGACTGAATCCTAAACAGAGCCCTCAGCGTGGATAGGATCAGGGAAATTAGCCATGATACAGGAGTAATTAACATCAAAAGACCAACTTTCCAGTATGTGATTGCTGCATTCAAAAAACAGTATATATGTAATAATTGGAAAGATTTTTTTAAATAATTTAAATAAATACTGTGGGCAATTAGCTTCTCAACCCCTTGGTGACTGTTCTAGAAATCCAGTTGTGTTCACCAAACCGCAAAGTGCTGACTGCCGGGTAGCTATAATTGATTTAAAAGTTGAATTAACATATTAACCAAGTACTTTCACTGAATCACTGTGCCAAGAAGTATTTGTGTTTTAATTATGCAGATAATGAAGATGGCCAGGTAGTGATATTACTGATAGAGTAACACCCTCTGAAAATACCACTGACTCAGTATCACGAAAATAAAGAAGCATTTTCTCTGCTAAAAATAAATCCTCCAATATGGATGAGTCTCCTCACCCATTCCCAGGAGTGGTCACTGTCCCGCCTTTGCTCCCAGTGAGATGCTAATGGCAGCTCTTAAACCTCTGCACCAAGTGCTAATTAACACCTTTCCCCTACTGGCACCAGGTCAAAGGCACACCGATCCTGCTTGCCACAATGGGAAACGCCAGTCAAAACTTTAAGGAATGAGTGTCACATGCTTACCTCTTTGTGCTGTTTGGCCAAACAACAAGAATACATGCACTCATCTAAAGAATTCCTGTGATGATGGAAGGTACACTCAAGTTACAGGTTAATACTGAGAGCTGAACTTTTTTAACTAACAGTCGAAGGAGTACCATTTGTCCAAACCTCCTTATGAATGGAGCTTTCTAACTGTGAGGGAAAATTTTTAATTTCTCCCTATTTACTTTCAATACAGAAATATTACTAGTAGGTTCACTCTTAAGGATTTGTTAAGACAAAAAGAATGTTTGGATGTTTATGAGATTATCTTTCAAGGCTTCAAGAACCAAAGTGAAGCTTTCTGATAAAATATCTCTTAGTCCAAAAAAATCACCACTTAGGCATCCACTGGATTTGAGGATTCATTTGACAAACATTTCCAGTGTTCATGTGGTCATTGAAGGGGGACTCAGCTCAGGAAGGAGACTGCTCTAGTTTGCTTTCTATTGCTGTGATAAAACACTGACCAAAAGCAATTTGGGAAGGAAAAGGTTTATTTCATCTTACACTTCCAAGGCATAACTCATCTTGGAGGGAGGTGTAGGAACTCAAAGCAGGATCCTAGAGACAGCAGCTGAAGCTGAGACCTCGGAGGAACGCTGCCTACTGGCTTGCTCAGCTACTTTTCTTACACAGCCCAGGTCTATCTGCCCAGGGATGGCACTGCCCACAGTAGGCTGGGCCCTCATTCGCCAGTTAACAATAAGAAAATGCCTCACAGACATGCCCACAGGCCAATCTGATGGAGGCGAGTCCTCAGCTGAGGCTCCCTCTTCCTGGTCTACTCAGTTTCTGTGACGTTTACAAAAAAGCTAACTAGTGCAAAAGCCATGCCAGAAAGGATGAAGGAAAGTTCCCAGATGAATAAATAGAACTGTGGAAACTTATTTAGAGCTGGGGGTGTAGCTCAGTGTTAGAGTGCTGATCTAGCATACTCAAGACCCCAGTTTGAGCCCCAGCCCTTCAAAACAAAGAGAAAACTCAAAATTTTTTCAAATAAGATTTTAAGAGTTAAAACTGGAAAGCGGGTGGTGAAGGAGCCGTAATACAGGCGTGCTTGGCAGGCGTGCTTGGCTGAGTGACATTAGAGTGAATGAAAATCCTTCCCATCCCAAAATGAGGAGGTTTTGCTGGGCAGTAGAGGTTGGCTTTTATGCAGTACTTATCTGGTATCCCATAGTAACAGGAATTACTTGTGTTCACCCATAGGGTTGGGCTATAATAATCATAGTAGAGATCCATAAAAGTCTTGGGATGTACCTTCCCAGTTTCACTGGTCAATCATCTGGTGGTCCTGTGACCACCCCTAGGAAGGTAGGATCACCTTAAGTTATGCTAAATGGATGGATGGAATATCTAGTGCTTGGTGCAGAGCAACTAGAATGAGACTCTCACCATGGAGACATCTGCATACTGGCCCATGTCCTCCCCCAGGTCTGCCTCTATAGTGGAGAAGAGGGGCAAGAGCACTTCCACCTTAATCCAGGCCTCTCGCTGGCCAAGACAAGTCCCGCTGTACTTGTTCCCCTTCGTGTGGGAACAGACATTGTAGGATCTGCTGCCTTGAGTGTCACTGCTCTAGCCATAGGAAACAAAAATTTTAAGCTCCTAAATTCTCAGATAGATGGAGACATGGGGCATCTGAAGGACTCTATCAGGCAGTTGGAGAGGCTGGTTGACGCCCTAGCTAAAATGGTGCTACAGAACAGAAGAGGGCTGGGCCTACTGTTCTTAAAGGAAGGAAGCTTAGGCATGGCCTTGGGTGAGACTTGCTGTTTTCACATCAATAAATTGGGT